GAGGGTTTTGGTGAAAAAAGCAGAAGGATGACAAAGGGTCAGAAGAATGAGCAGCAGGAAACATGGAGAAATTGAAATAGTATAGAATATTGATCAAAATGTGAACTTAAAAGTAGTGCGTGTTTTTGGTGTGTAGTGTTGAAAAGAAAGAAAGAAAGAAAGAAGAAAGAAAGAAAGAAAGAGAGAAATGACTTTTTTTTTTCAGGGATGATGAGATGGAATGGATAGTTCTACTATACATCTGGTTCTGGTAAGAGTAAGTTAGCAGTGTGACTAGTGACAATAGTATTGGAAGCTGCATAAAAGTTTGATGGAATTTTCAAAAGGTGATAAGATAGGAAAAAAAGCTCTTTTGAATTGGTCTCTCACTCAACTCCAAAATAAAATTAAAATTAAAGGAAGACTACTAAGAATTGTTGGAGTTAAGATGTAAAGAGTTTGTCCGTCTTAAACAGATATCAAGTGCAAATGTGTATGAATAATTTATATAACCGTTTAAGGAGATATTAATTATTATGTAAATAAATTTGTTCAAAAAGAATTAATTTGAACATGATATATATTAATTTATACGATATCAAGGTTGTTAATGTGGTAAAGAAAAGGACTTGGAAACTTGAGGCTGTGATACAATAAAATAAAGATATGCACAACTATAAAGTTGGGGCTATTAAGGAAGAGATTTTCTTTCAAACTTGAGATGTCTTTTGTCAAAATGCCTAGAAAAGAAAGTAAAAGAGGAAAAATGATTTGAAAGATAAGAAAGAAAGCAAAGAAGAAGAAGAAGAGGTAGAAGGGGGTAGGGTAAGGGCAATGTCAGCTCTAATGGTTAGGTGAGGATTTGGTCCCATTCCATATTAATGGCCAACTAAGGTTATGAGTTACTGTTGTTTGAGTCCCTCATAACAGGAAAACCTGTCCTTCTCAAAATTTCACCTTTTTTTTTTTTTTTTTTTTCCCTCCCTCTATTCCTTTGTTGTTGCCAGTTGCTGCAATACTGTCTCTTCCTACTGCCACTCAATTTAATTCAATATTAATTTCTTGCTTTGAGTGCCATTAATTTTTCATAATTTTATTTTATGACTCGTGCAGTGAGTAGTATTTCATTAATTCACCAATTAAATGGATTTTATTATGTGATATAGAGTGATGATTTGACGTGCATATAAGTGTAGTGTTTCCTTAATTTGACTTTTCCCAAAATGATTTTCTTTGTAAAAAGTGTTTCATCAATTTCTAATATATATGCGTGTGTGCACGTTGGTTTAAACATTAAGTAGGAGTTGAGTAAATAATAAGGGCTGTGTTGTTATTAGGGTATGAATTAGTTTTCATAATTAAGTGTTTCAATTTTGACAAAACCATCCTTAAACTATTCAATCTTCTTACTTTATAAGATTTAGTTAAAATGGTAAAAAATAGTTTTGAAATGTAATTTCTACTCTTACTCATAAGAACAGCTAAAATGTAAATTTCTTTAGGTTTATTTATTGAAAAACACACAAACGTCTCCAAATCTTTTTTCCCTAGAACAAAAATCCGATTCGTAGAAAGTTTTTGGACGGAATCATCATCGACTTACTTTATACTTGTATAGTTTTGAAGAGTACAACATTTTTGAAATAATTAAAAAAAATAATTAATATTGAAAACAAAAAAAATCAAAACCTCATAATTATTCGAGGAAGGAGGGTATACCATTTATTGAGATCTTCCCTATTTCTAGTATAATAAAAGAGTGGGGAAAAAAAGGTGAAAAGAAATAATCAGTAGGTTGGGTAATAGTCGGCAGATGAATATTACACATAGGTCATATAGGGTGATGGGAAGATGATGAAGATCATTGAAATAGTCAATTCAAAGCAGATGCAGAAAAATTACTGTATCAAGTACAGAGGAGTAAGTAGTAGGCCAAGTAGGAAGAAGAAGAAGTGAAGAAGAGAGTGCATATAAATATTTAATTTAATTATATTATACTGGGAAAAATCTTTTGGTGAATAAATATTGGAGAAAGGAACGGCGACTTTGTTTACCCACTGTTTTTCTTTCTATTCAATTCCCTGAGAAGGAGCGCAAGAATTTCCCTTAATTCAGGAAATGGGCATGTGGGGTTTTTGATACACTTTGAGTGGAATACAAGGTAAAAAAAAAAAAAAGAAGAAGTAGAAGGAAAAAAGCCAGCTGCCTTCTTAGTTGCCCTACCCACCCCAACCAAAAGAAGATTAAAAACAAAAAGGCAAAAGAAATGTTTCCAGTTCCAAAAGAGTTTCCTATTCAGAAATGTCGTATAACATGGATAGATGTAGATACTGGATACACTATGATGATGACACAGAGAAATTTAACCGATATCACTGTGATCTTTTACTGTGTCGATCTTTTCTCATACTCCCTAAGTCCCAAAAGTATTATTCAGTTCGAGTTTTCATTTTTAGTTCAAATTGTATTAAAAGTGAAATCTCAAACTGGACAATAATTTTAAGATAAATAAAATATATATTTAGACCTTAATTTCACTTTGTGTTTGATGGTCGATTAATCGGATCTTACGAGTTGAATGACTTGAATTAATCATGAGTACTATGTTCTAAAATTTAAAATACTCTTTCTGTTAAAAAAAAATAGTTTACAATGAATTTCGAAATTTATACTCAATAAAATTATTTATATTGAATGTGAGCTAGTTTCTTTTAGCAAAAAGATAGTAACATGGATCCAAAGATCAATGAGAATTTCACTGACCCCCGAGTTGTGACGACACAAAGTTGATTTATAAATCTTGACACAAGAAACCTTTTTGTGAGTTTAGGCTGTTTAGCCATTTAACAAATCTTTTTCACCTAACAACCACACTTAACAAAGTAGCAATCGTTCATTGATTTGGCCGATGCGTAAAATTGTACTATAACACTAATACACCTTCGAAGTATTTACCTTAAAACAATACTTTAATGATATTCATCGGAGTAGATATATCGATAAATGGAACATAACAATGTATTAATCTCTCCGTCTCATAATTATTGTCCAGTTTGTGTTTTCATTTTTAATACAAATAAAATTAAAAGTAAAATCTCAACCTGCATAATAATTTTGAGACAGAGAAAGTACTATTGTTTAGCAAATTGTACTCTCTCTATTCAACATGATTGTCGTATGTGTATTTTAATTTAACAATTAGGACACCTGTATGAAGATAGAAAGACACAGTTATTTGGTGTAAAATTATATGTTTGTCTCGCTAAAGTGCTTACAAGTATTTTGAGGATTCAGGACCAAAACTAGTTAGAATACTGCAACGAAATTGAACCACCTCATCATGTCTACTGCCAAAAGCTTGAACCTCCAAAACAAGGACAGAATTTTCGCCAATTTGAGACTAATAAAAGCAATTTTGTATTTCTGAAAAAAGAACATATATTTTTTTCCTTAAAAAAATAGTGTTGAGTTGCCCATGAACCAGACAGCTTGTAGAGGATTTGTGAGGCACCATTCTGGGTTTCTGCTATACTTTTTCTTCCCAAAAGAATTTTTGCTTTTAATAAAATAATTCTGATGATCAAATTACAAATGGTTTACAGCAATGCAAGCACAAAAGACACAAATTATGAAGAAATATAAATAAATAACAATAATTGGACTTATATCTATACACTGATGAAATATAATCCAACCGTGCAAGATTTATTTAGTTTTATTTATCTTTTTGTCTTTATCAAGAATAGATAGATCTGTGATGATCAACTTCTAAAATAAACAAAGCAAATTAAATTCGTGCATGCCTCTGTGTTTTTTTATGCGTGTCTTCATTTCTTTTGTTTGTTATTATTATTTGGTTTTGGTGGGGGGAATTGCTGAAGAGAGACAACTGTTTGAGGAAGTAAAAAGAATAAAAAAAAAGTTGAAATCATTGTTGTGAACACACTCTCATAATGCAGCTGAGAGAACACGAAATTAGTAATCTGGCACAATGTGATAGGTTTGATTTTCGCTTGTAACTATTCCACATGGTGAAAAATGTTACTACCTCTGTCCCATAATTATTGTCCAATTTGGGTTATCATTTCTAGTTCAAATTGTGCTAAAAGTGAAATCTCAAACTGGACAATAATTTTGGGACAGAGGGAGTACTATTTACTAACATATAATTCCTTCTATTAAAAACCGAAATGAAACTATCTATTTCACTTATTAATTATGCATATCAATTACAAAAATTGCATTTCTTTAACTTTCTTGGAAAATAACTATGGGTTGCGCTAAGTATTTTCTGACTAATGCCACCAAACAAATCAAAAATTGAATGCTAAATCCAACAATAATTCTTTATATAATTAGTGTGTTTTTATGAACATGACTTAGAAGTTAGAAGCATTTAACCGAATATCTAAGGGTTAATACACAATAACCGCTATGGAATCAGAAACTTACCAAGAACCCCCTTATCGTCCCAAAAGCTATGACAAACCCGGTTTGCCTAAAACAAAATTATTTGTATGAGGTACTTTAATTTCGGATTGTTGCCAATGAGATTAAATCTAGACCTGAAGATTTTCAGTAAGAGTTAGATTCAAATGGTGATCTAATTACATGCAACGTAAAAAAAAATCCTGAAGAACTTATGTTGCAGATAATTTATGGCGCCCTCCATTTCCAAGAACATGCTTCTTCCGAATTCATACGGCGATAGAAGATCAGCAGAAACATTATCAAACAAACATTTTATGGCTACTTCTCTTCGACGATAGAAGATCACCTTTTCAATATTTTAGTATCAGGAAGACTTCCCTTCTATATTTGGGAATACAAGATAGTCAAACTTAATCTTTCAAAATTGATGCAATAAGATCCTCAAGAAACAAAAGGATTTCATGCGCGCAAATTTTCGTTCAGAAAATCCAAAACAACCGAATGCAATTGAGGGGCTGTAGTATACGTCCCGTCTTCAATTCTTCTGGTGCTTGAAGCAAATCAGGCAATTCAACCATCCTAGCAAAGTTTTAAGTCCTTCGACAGCAGGGCCTCTTACCACAACATTTTCTCCCCTGAACTGATAGATGGATCACGCCATTCGAAATATGACTCCGAGCTGTTGCAGCTCTAGAACCTGATGACCACGCAGCGTACAACTCCTCTGCTTCACCCCGGCAGAACTGGTTATTGCTGAGATCTAATATTTGCAACTCAGTAGCCTTTTCGATTGTATCTAAAAGCTTTTGAATAAATTGACCATCCAAACTGGGTTCGCTCTCTGGAGTAGAGCTAATATGGATCTCACTGGATGCGGATTTTGCAGTTGTCTCCCTCGCTCTATCATCATCACCATTTCCTGCAACGTCGACCTGATTTTCTTCTGCAGCAATTGCACAGACCTCATTTGTGGAAGCAGTCTCTTCAGATGCAGATACCTTAGATGAAGAGTTGGCATTGGCCTGCTTTCCGTACGAGCTTTCTTTCACCGGCATCCTTTGGTGACTGTTTTCCTTGTTCGGATATATGTTGTCAGCCAAGTAGAGCTCTTCAAGCCAACAATTTTGAGACAGTGCCTCGAGTACTTTGAGGATGCCAACTTGACCAAGTTGGCATTTGCTTAGCACCAAAACTTTTAAGCAACATTGAGGAACATTAGCAAACATATATACCAAGTCATCGGCACCCTGGTTCATGATTTGAGTTGGATCTATGAGTAAATAAATGCGTAGACTTAAAACATTTTACATAAACACTATCATGTGATGCCTTGTATTTTTTTTTTTCTTTTTTGTTTTTCTTTATAACTTCTCCATTTCAATAACTAAAATGGAGTTTTTGAACACTAAAATGTGATGCATGATTTATAAAAATTGCATATAAAAGAATTCCTAATCATAACAAGCATCCTGTATCCAAATCACACTCTTCCAGAAATTTACTGTCTATATTTTATCTCTTCGCTATCAACTAATGAGAAGTGTTTAACTTTGAGCAAAATTCATGTGTTGGTTTACAGAACTGAAACTTTCTTAACGTTATACAAATTCAAACAGTGAGTTGAACTGAAGCATTACACTTTATTAAGAAAATGTACCAGATGTGTGATTGGATTTCCTACAAGATTCAGCACTAAAAGACCATTTAGCAAAACAACTTCTTGACTCAACCAAAATGTATACCACCACGTAAGTCTGGTATATGATAGACCCAGTTTCACTTCTGGAATTTCATTTGATAGTGACAAAATTAAACTTAAAGATTCATTCTGCAAAAAGCATGTCTGTAAGTACAAAGCCAGAGGTAATTAACCAACGACAACTGAACACAATATAGAGATGCTAACAGACTCACTGATCCTATGTTGCTGCCTCCCAACATCAACCCAGACAAGCTAGCATTCTCAGCAGGTTTGCACAAGTTATTAACCACATGTGTGCTTAACTTGATGCCGGTTAGGCTGAGATCTTTAAATCTAGGATTATGAGGCAAGTTGGTTTTTCCGTATTGGCATAAGTTCTTATGTTGAAGATATTCTGTGTAACTAAAAAGTGGTTGTCAACATACCTCTTCAGAGTAGGAAGTTTTTGCGAAAGATTTATGATGGCGTTGATACATATAGAGTTGTGTCCTGGTTTCAATAACACCAAAAAATAAATAAATAAAGATTTTATAAAAATAGCATTGAGAATATCCATAAAATAAGTGCCATCATCTATGAAAGGGTACCTAAGGATAAATGTGTAAGCGCGGATCTGGAATCAAATGAGTCAGCAATCTTTTGAATTGTTCTTGATGCGATAGAACAATATTCAATATCTAAACTGTAAAGCGCTGGTCACCAAATAGGCCTTTGTAAGTATACAGAAGAAGCAAAAATAACAATTCTACTACAACAACAATATGCCCAGTAAATTCCCGACTAGGTTGGGGTCTGTATACCCAGTATCCAGAAGAAGCAAAAATAACAATTCTAACAGACAAAAATAACCCAAAAACACTTTTTTTAAAAAAGTTTTTTTTATGATAAGAATGATGGAATGAGTGGATGCATATTTGAAGGAAGAAAACGCATACATCTAGAACCAACTTTTGTACTGAGCTTTATACAACTAAATAAACCGTTAAACTGGTCAATCATTCATCATTCAAGTCACCAATCGACAATTCGACATAGCATGGTTGGCGATGAATCTTGAAGACAAATCCAACAGCAGAACAATTGTATAATCATGATACCCTTTGTACTAAAAATGAAGCTCCAAACCGCACAATAATTTCACGAAAGGAGTACTTCCCAAATCCTTGATATGGCATTATTCATGGGACAACAAATAATGTAAAAAACACTCAAAAGAAGGGGGAAATAAAAGGAACAGCTTTCCTCACCTTTAAAATTCTTCAAGATGTTGGATAGTTAAGAAGCGCAGGAGTCAGTCAAGCGATTACCAGAGACATTTAATACTTGAAGCCGAGAATATTGTACAGGGCAGTCAGTCAGAAATCTGCAAATAGCAAAATAAAGAATTAATTAATTAATTATTATTATTATTTTAAATAAAAAGCAGCACAGCCAAAGAAATATAGCCTGCTTCCTGAAAATTTCCAGTTCTACCAACAAAACTATTCGGCATATATGCCCAGAACATCTCTACCACATTATAAGACAAAAAGCTCTTTAATATTACCCTCTGTCCAGGCTTACAAATGAAGAATCACTTTCTTTTGAAATTATTCCTAGGATATAAAATTACAATCTTTCTTTATAGCCAAGTTCCCAGCCCTCCCCACCCACAGAAGACATAAACAGATCATTACTGTTTATGTGACAATATTCCGTTAAAAACTTGCTACACAAAATCTAGACTAGATAAAATTGCCAGGCAAAGTCTAATTAACTAGTGCATCTAGAAAAAGAATGCATTGAATTCGTCAAATTGTGAAATAATATAGAGATCATGCAGTGCACAATCATAGGAACAGATGATTACCAGTTACATAAGCATTTGACAAACAACAGCAGATAAAGACAAGTGAGCCTTTTGCTATATAGAACTATCTCATTTTGGTATGTCAAAACGTAGATGTTCTCCAACAAATAAATATGACTACCAGCATCTAAAGTTTTCCAACAATAAATATAGCTCCTTTCCAAGTTTCTGTGTTTGGCATTAAAAGTTCAAAATAACAAAAATGAAAAAATTGAAGGAGATGGAACATACTTGCAGTAAAGCAGTCGGACCAAGTCAGTTACAATGCAAATCCAAAACTAAAGCACTGTTGTTTGTCCCGATGAACAAAAAGTTGCTTAAGTTGTTCCATCGTTGCATTACCTGGAAACGCCAAACACTGTTCAGTAATTGATCAGGAATAGAATACAAGAAGGAACTCCCACATGAAAACACAAAAGGCAATTATAATCATTTCCCATCACTAAATAACCAAGAAATTGTGAGAAAGGTCTATGACAGCGACTGTTTTGTGTTTATGCAAGCCATAAAGCAGCGGTGCAACTGATACATTTTGCAGTTCACAATCAGCTGCTATAATTCTGAAACCTGAAAAGATTAAGAAAAAAACACAATATTGACGATGAACTTTGTCCTTCCTCTGTGAAGAACTACATAAGGATATCTTTTCTCAAAAGAAGGAAAGAAAAAAAAAAAAAGAAAAAGAAAAGAGTGAACATGATAAAATATATAATTGTGTTCTGTAATATTCTACTAAAAAGAGCAAGACTGCAGCACGAAACAACCTATTTATCAAACCTTACCTCAAGACTGTACAAGTTCTTCAGGACTTTCAGGCTGGGATGGACAGAAAGCTCCTTGCAGCAGTCAATATAGTTCTTCATTACTGGCTTTGATACCCATGCTGCTTGAACAACATACACATCTTAAGAACTCACACTCAAGAGTAAAATTAGCTGGCAATGTAAACAAATACTGCTTCATGGTGAAAAATCCAAATTAAGAACAACTGATAACAAACTCGGAAATGAAATAAATGACGATCAGTTACCAAAAACCAAAACAACCACACTTTTGTTTGACAAAGTCACTGACATTTTAGAATGGAAAGTGCTAGAGTGAAGAAATAACACAAAAACAAATACCAAGCTTATAAAGGAGGCACATCAGACGTAGGGAAGACGGTTCTAAAAGTAGTAAGAGTTATATTCTGCACTGACTCAAGCCAAAGAAATATAAAATTATGCGGTATGATTTGTTATTTCTGTGAGCATGCTTCTCATGAAATCGGTGAAACAACTTATGTCATGCAAGGAGTCAGAAGCACCTAGAACAATGTATATCAAAGCTAAAGGTCCAACAGCTGTCATACCTCCCACTGAACCTTCCATCAGGCCTCTTGAAAATTGGTGATTTTTCAATAAATCAGTGGCTTCCAGAGTTTGTAGGGTCCTACCGTCATATTTTATATCTTTAACCACAGGGACCAGACCTGAGGATTATGAAAATCACAGTTAATGTTTACCAAAAAAATAACTTAGAAAAAGTCACTATTAGTGTCACATTTGGTAGTAGAAATTGAGTAAATTCAGGATAACTAACCAAAAGGCATTGCGGAAATCAGATAAAATAAGTTATATGATTATAAAATAAAGAGTTACTTCAAAATTCTCCCTTTCGTTTATTACTAACTTCCCTGTTTATTTTAGAGAATCTAGCTTATTTTTCACTACTCTGCAACTTTCTTGTGTTGATCATTATCAAAAGTAGTGAACCATATATCCTACAATATGCTTCGTTAAAATTCTAGGGATGGGTTATTGGAAAAACATTAAGGGTAGGCTCAAAAGAGCAGGTTCAAACATTCAACATAGCATCAGAAAAGAAAGAAAAAGAGATCCATCTATAACAGGAATGTCGTAGTCATTGTGCCCATCCAGAGAGATCATCACTGCATTAAGGTTTACAGCAAAAGATTCAACAGAAAAAGATGTCACAATTAGATGAAGTTCGTGACTTTTGATTTTCTCTCCGAGATAATGAGCGTATGATAATCTACTCTAGGGACACGTCTCTAGAATTTTGGTGACAAATTTCTCAACAAGTAATTGATTGTAAGCGGGTAAAATGCTTCTGTACTCTGTCCTGCAGCACAACTGCCTACAGAAAAAGATCATTTTTCACTTGGGTTCATCAGTAAATGCTGACCATCTTTATGGGGTTCTCGCTTGTCAGCAGATCTGACAGTTTCACAGGAATTATCTAGAGCCCAAACACATGGCAACCTATGCCTTTGACAAAAAAAGGATCACGAAAGAAACAGATTAGCACTTTTCCGGCTTCTCATGTCACAAACACTAGACTATGCGTATGCAGTGATATTGCTAGATAGTTTTCTAGGATGACCAATCCTTGCCAAAGGAATAGAGCATGGTGGCATTAGATATTGTATTCTGACAACCAAATGCTTAAATCTATACCTGGTCAGCTTAATGATTATCATAAACCTATATCAGAATTATCACAAACCTAATAAAGATAATGTCACCCTGATAGCTCTTCACAGAGTTATAAGCACAGAAGAATATGAGTCCCGAGAGGGGGAAGATGAAGCAATGGAAGCCGCGATAAATCTATATAGCTTCTCTCAAGTTTTGCTAAGAGGAAAAACAAAACACTGCAACAGAAAGTCGATTAGGTAGTAAATTGCTACTTTTAATCACCTAAACTTTAGACCACACTTATCAGTATTATTAAATCAATTATATTAGGTAGTAAAATCTCAGTAAAAGTTAAGGAAAAGAAGTTGCAGGGAGATAGTTCACGAGAAACTGTGTTTCCAATGAAAATAGTTTCCCAGGTATTCTGCTAGTCAACTAAATGAGTTACAGAAAGATCTCTTTTTAGCTTAGAAATGTCTGTAAACAGCAGATTATTCCTGACTTTTAGAATTTGTTAAGAGTTAATGTGGGAAGGAACCAGCTAATTTATGTATTACCTTAAATGAAGTCATGTATCCAATAATGGCAGATTACTCATCAGGTTGAGGATTTGTTCCAGTAAACATATGAATGAACTATGCTGCAATTTTATTTACCTTGAATGAAAATGTAGGCTTTAACAAGGCATGATTGTGACCTACGACCCGCGGACACCATATATCATTGTAGTTAAGATAAGGATTCACACTATGAAACTACAAGTGGAAAAGAGTAACAAGAACAATGTTGTAAATATACTATGGAAATCAAATTTCTCTTTTCCTTTTTTTTTTTTTTTAAAAAAAATATCTTCCTTACCAACAAAAAAAAAAAAAAAATTAAAGTAGAAATTGTTTTCCTGCCAGGAAGGATGTAAGCTACATGCAACAAGGAGATAATGTGAATTTTCATAAAAGAAATCAAGATATACATGTTATCTATTAGTCTCGAGCATGCATATAAGGTAAAATTGATTGGGATATAATTGGCCAGATCTCGACAAGAGAGGGCTTGTACAGAAGTTTTTAAGGATGTTTGCAAAGAAGCAACAAACACTTCAAAAGCAATATCATTAGAAATTCTTAATAAGGTCTCAATCGAGGATCAACGACAGCTGATACCCTTTTTCTTTCACAAAACATTCGTCGGAAAACTGAGGAAGTGTTATTTAGAAACCGCATAGTTTTAATAGATGAGACAGGAGGTGTAATTGCCAACCTAAAAGCATTAGTACATGAGATATTTTGTTATGTGAATGGACATGTGTTAAGAACCTTTTGGCTGCTCAAGAACTCCATGTAGGAAACAACCTTTTCAAGACCAGTTTTTTCAGCATTTAAATGAATTAGTGAATCATTGAGCACATGAAACAGATATTTGTCACCTGTAAAAAACCCCAGAGTCAGGGAAAAAAAAATCATTTGCACCTGATTCTCTCTTCTTAGAAGGCAGTTGTAGGTGGTACAAACATGCTACTATAACCTTCATCTCCTCTATGCTGACTTTATCCCCTATCAAGAATGAGTCTTGCGATAAATGTACAAAGTCCCCCTCCATCTTGATGGTTATACTCTGCAACCAACAAAACGAAGTAGGAAGATTTTTTCTTCATTGTCAAAACTACTTTAGGAAACCTAAACATAAAACAACCTTAAGTATAGAAGAAGTAAGAGCGGGCCAGAAATAGTTCAAAACTAACTTTTAAATATAGAGGTGCTACAATGCCAGTTGCCAAGACCCACAGAGACAGTGCAATGTTTTCAGTACGTTAAAGCTTTGACTGACAGTCCAATTAAACTGTGGAACCAGTCATTTCTCTAGCATAATGGTAGGTAATGCTGACAGCAACCAAGAACACTTGACTTTGAAGTTTGATGCAGTAATCTTGATGCACCAGTTAGGGAATGAAGTTATAGTGAGTGACAGAACACGGCCACGTGACCTAATGGAAACAAATGACCTGAAGATATGTTATGACACCAAAGCGTAATCAATGAATTTTTGGTTCTTCTCATCATTTCAGACACAACTACTAACACCCTAGAATCATGTTCTATGTTGAGGTGAGTATTACATACACAAAAAAGTTCCATATAGAAATCAGTTAGCACTGATAATTATAGTCCATAGCAATAAGGAATGGAGGCTGTAAAATCTTACAGTCTGTGTACTTACACAACTTTCATCTGAACTAGGAAGAACATTAACGTCAGATGTTTTGTATTCGCAGATCATATTTTCAGAGGCATTTGCACCACATTTTGTATTTTCAGATTCATGGTTGTTTGAACATCTGAATTCTGCAGCATCTTGACCAACTGGTGCAGAAGTTCTTGGCCTGTGGGCACAGCTGCTTTCTTCCTGAATAACAGGTTACGAGCAATCATGGCACATTTTGTGGAAACAGGTGAAATATCCGAGCAAAACCAATCAAGAAACTTTAGCAATTTAAATATATATATATATATATATTTGATGAGATATGACTGATGAGTGCCTACCTGAATCTCATATTGTTCCTGGCTGTTCTGCACTTTTTAACTGCAAGATAAGACAATCAAGTAAGTTCTCTGTTCTTAGCTCCTTATCAAAAAAGTGAAACTGAAGACTTACATGCAGTTGAGGCAGCAGCCTCGTCCTCATGGAAGAAATTAACTGGTCGTCTCGCTGCACGATTTTCCTCTTCTTGACAATCAGTAGGAACAGCACGACGTCGTTTACAACCAACTGCCTGAATACCAGCAGATGTTGAATCACTCTTCGGTGAATATGCAGGTAGCTTGATAGAATCCCTAATAGCTGCTTGATTGACAGTGCTGAACTTTGTCCCCTTCTTACCATGATGCAGAAGTGATATTAAAGGAGCATCTTCATTCAAGTCAGCTGGACATGAATGAGAATTTGATCTCGAGGAATTTGGGAGACTTCCATCTGAAGAATTGCTAACTTCATTCCGGCCTGATGACTGGCTTTCAATCTTTTCTTCAGTTTCAGAACAAATATTCGCTGCTCCTTTTTTCTCCTTTGTTGAATGCTTTAGATTATTAATTGAAATTTGCAGCATCCTAAAAGGAAGAATTTTTATTTCAGAGAGCAGGGATAACTTAATTGAATCCGCAGAAAGTAAGAAATTCTTTTGGTTGAACTGGATGGAATAAGGAAGTCATATCAGCATCCACGAGTCTGGAGAACAATTTTTCAAAAGAGAAGGAACAAAATACTTAAAAATTTGACAAGGTATGGCTTTATAGTTCTGATCTTGCAGAAGATTAATATGGGGGCACTACATTCACAATGGTCTTCAAAAGTGTATTAAGAAAATTTGGCTACCTGGCTTTCTCATCTTCGTCATATCTGATCATGTAGCTGTAGTGCATGTTTTTCAGAGCAGACAACTGAGCAGAAGCAATGCTAGCTTCAGAAGCAATCCTGCATTTTGAAAGAACACCATGAAGAGCAAAGAAACACAAAGTTGATGGTGCAGAAGAGAAAATAAAGATGCTAAAAGGGAGAACACGGTATATAGCTGCGAATTTGAGCTACTATTGCAACCTACTTTCAGAAACCCAGATAATAAGCGGCAAAGAACTCCTCTCTTTCCCTCAATGTAAAAATACTTAGAGAGATATGTGTTTACATGTTCCACATACATGTATGGAGAAATTCTTTTTCATGTCCTTGGAACAATTTATAGATGGATCATATTGTAAGCATGCCAACTTTTAACAAAAAGAACAATGATTAACAATATGACTAGTATAGTTTATCCAATTACAGTTCTCATTTATACAGAGAGAAAATAAATGTATACCCTTCTGCAACAACAAAGACATGCATTCCATTTCTCCAATTCTGGTGAGGTTTTTTTTAATCAAAATACATGTACTCTATGGAAATTTGTGGGCTAAACATGAAAATTAGATGAAAAAAGAACCTACGTCAATGAAATTTATTTACATCACAGATGCAGATAAAATATGGGAAGTAATGATACTTGCCTGTAAGCCTCCTCAAAAGCCTCTAAGGCTCCCTTCCAACGACCAGCAGAGTCCATGACGTTTCCCATTTCAATCTTGGATAATTCTTGCCCCTGGAACCATAGTGTACACATAAAACACCATTACAACTAACAGAGACTACTAAAAGAAATAAAGCTTTGCTCCGGAAATAAATTTTTAACATCAGAAAAACGACACATGAATTGCCATGATCTGTTGCTATTTATTTGAAGAAAATTTGCAACTAAAAAGCAAGTAATCTCTGATGACAACTAGAAACTTACCTCCAACTTTCCAATCAATTTGTAAATTTAAAACCCCTTTCATACCACATAAGAGCTTCATCAAACCTCCTGAGTTTTTTACACGATCCTCCTTTAGCGAAGGAGTCAGCAAGTTTCTCCTTGTCACATAGTCTTTCTGCTATCTTATTCTTTATTGTTGCATATTTGAAATGCTAAAAAACGATGTAAACATAATTAATATCTTGGAGAAGCATATGCAGGAAATGAGAAGACAAGAATTAAATTCGTTTCAATATAATTCACAGAAGTCTAAATATGCTCCCATAACATGAATATTAGTCTTCGATGGGGTGCATGTTCCCGTGTTAAAGAGAGCATCATATGAAAGAAAAATTGTTTTCTGTTTTCCCTATCAGCATCTTAACAAAACCTAACTCATTAGACTCCATGTGCAATTTCGTTCTTTACAACCTTGGCACTTGGGAGAGGTATTAGAGGTCACGGACAAGGAACAGAATATTAGTAACTGAAGTCTTGCAGAAATAAATGCAGGAAATGAGTAGACAAGAAACATATTTATTTTAAAATACTTCACTGAAGACTAAATGTGCTTCCAAGACATGAATATTATTCCTTAGATGAGGTGCATGTTTCTGTGATCAAGAAAGAACATCATTTTTAAAGCAAAATATTTGTCTTTTATCCCAATGAGCATCTTAAAATAACCGGACTCATTTACTCCATAAGTGATTTCGGTGTTTATAACCTTTGCATTTGTTTTGGGTAATAAAGTTCAAGACAGATGCTACTTAGAAGTGATTTGTCATTGTTATAGCTTGGTAAGGGTCAACAGAAACAAAATAAGGCAATTTCATAAGCAAAAGGGCCAATCATAACCATTTATAATCATCAGTCAAAAAGATGTATTCTAAAAGATACCTATATCCACAGTTGTGGCAATAGGACACGATAAAATGCAAGAGATAGCAAGTGAAGCAAATTGGTTGAGCAGTAACATATGGAGGACCAAATAAGGAAGGCGTTTGCAGCATAGATACCTCTATCCAAGCAGATATCGAGCTTGATTTCTGAATTAGAAGATCAACAAGTTCAATTTGTTGCAGTAAGTACTTCCTTTCACATGCTTTATCCTTCGACTTTTCAGTGCACCTTTGAATCCTTTTCAGATTCTGTTCACCTTGCTTTAGTTCCTTCATTACTATAATTGCTGCTTCTACAGTTTCAATATTTAGTTCTATCTGATCGACTAGAGCACCCTCATCTTCCATTGATTTTGCCATTAGAAGCGCCTTTTGGTAACAACTGATAGCCTCCTCATACTTTTGGACTCTGCCGTGCAACTCACCAAAATTGATTAAACCTTTAGCTTCTCCTTGGCAGTGCCTGATGCTCTCACAGATCAAAATATCTTTTTTTATGTGCTCTTCAGCTTTTTTCCAATTCCTAAACTCCATGTAAACAAGTCCAAGATTATGATGAAGCCTACTGCGACCATCATCATTCTCGCCAACCTCTTCTTCATCACAAATCTCCAAACCTTTAGTAAGAATACTCTCAGCTTCTTCCAAGTTATTGAGATCTATTTCAAGCATTCCAAGGTTATTATGGGCATCAATGTACTCGGTAAGAAAAGTAGATTTGCTACTCCACTGATTTTCCTTGAGATTTTTAGCTAGCTCAATGGCTAAAATGAAGTACTTCTTCGCATTCTGAACTGCAGAGTGGTTATCCTGAGATTTCAGAAATATTTCGTGGTATGTTCGGCCGAGTTGAGTGTTTGCTCTTTGTTGCTCAGCAAGGTTATTAGCCCCTTCTGCAATCTCTAAATGTTTTTCCTGTGTCATGGAACCAATACCATTCAACAACTAAATTGCATAAATTCTCACTAGAAATAGCTAATAGCTCTAAGAACAAACAACCAATCAAGTTATACATCAGTTTCTTAATTAATCAGCATCCAATCAACAGAAAAACAACACTAAGTGAATTGTGGTAAGAAATAAAGCATATTGAGGCAGAAATTGGAAATTCTCCATGAATAATCACAAACCCCTGCCTTACCTGATAATACAAGGCTTCCTTGAAATTCTCAAGGCGGAGATGGAGTTCGCCTAGGGTATTACAAGTGGGAAACAAGTCTTTATCGGGTAAAAATCGTTCCGAAACCTCATAATCTTTCTGAATCCAATCCAACGCCTTCACGGTATTCCCCACGATTCTTAAAAATGTTGCCGATGATATTTGCCCACCGTGCTTCCTCCTTCCGATTCCCGCCCTCCAGCGCCGCCTGGTACGCCCGCTTTGCATGTTTGAGCTCTGGTTCATCGCCATTTTTTCGCTTTTTTTTTTTTTTTTGGGTGTGTGACTGCGTGATTGAGACTGAGAGATGATTAAGATGGATACTCAATTTTGGGATTCTGGTATCTGAGTGGGTTGATTTCCTATTTAAATTATAGTAGTTTGCATTAAAAACAAAAAGAGGGAAAATGGAGGCTTCCCGCCCTTTTTAATTTTTTATTTCCTTTTACTGTAATGGAAAATTTTTTTTTTTTTGGAAAAATTTTGTAGTGCACAGACTATGATGCAGTCTATGATCCATTTATAAAGTCATAATTTTTATTCATGAGTTTGAGTCAAAATGAGTAAATATAACACCACATAAACATGATGACGGAACCGTTAAATCAAAATTTCTGCATCAATTTTATTTTTGATAATTCAATAGATCCATGATCTCAATTAGTTCAACTAGATCCTAAACAAGTAATTCACTAAGATTTCTCTCTTTCTTTAATTTGATTCCCTTGATATTCTCATGAAAGTATCAGTTTTTAAAAGTATTTTCACTATGATAAAGGTCAATCTAAATTCCAAAAATAGGAAACATCCGTAAGTATTTTTCCTTTTGAAAGAAAGACATAATGTTGTTAATGTAATTATCGCAAATGATGTTCATTACAATTTATTGTCTGAAACATGAAAGATTCCTTCTCATATTTTATTACAAAATAAAGCATCTAAAAAATATTCTATCCATTCTATAAAAATACTTCACATTATAAAATTATTAAAATAGTCATTGAGAGGAGTACAGTGTTTGAGATTGCCTTTACCTTATTTTATAATGAATATTTTTGCTCTAAGAGTGGGTTAGTTTAGATTATGAACCTAACTTCTGTTCTAAATTACAAAAGGGTTTATGGTTATCATTTAAAAAAAAACATATATTAACAACTATGTTTTGAAAACCGGACCGGAAAGCGAACCGGCAACTTAAGTGGTTCACTGGTTTACCGGTTTAATCGGTTTAAATGGGCTTTTAAAATCAGTAAAAATCGGCTATAAGAATTATTAAAAAAAATAATTAATTTTCAAAATTTCAAAATTTCAGTTAACCGGTACTAGTTCCCGGTCAAACCGCAGTTTTGTCCGAGTTTGACCTATTTTAAGTCTACCGGTTATTAATCTAAACCGGACCGGAAAGGCATCCGATTCCCGGTCGAACCGGTTCGACTGCTCAGTCAGGTCCAGTTTTCAAAATATAGATTAACAAGAGTCTCTTAATGAATTTTGGATGGACCGTGAAGTGGCTTTGGATTAATCAGTGTACATTAAATGGTTCTTGAGAAGTAAAATATTTAAAAGAGATGTTTTGGACGGAGAATGAATTTTGTAGATTTTGTTTTAAACTCTTTTTTTCTTTTTTCCTTAGGTTGAAACAAGGCGGTACTTTGTGAAGATTGTACCCGATTTTATTGATTTGATGAAAAAGAGTTTGTCAATGCTGATGACTTAGGAAAATACAATGGCTCGCATAATTGTAAGAAAACAACAAAAAGAAAACATATGAATATACGAAGTCTTAACCCTTTCTATCTAGAACGAAGATAAGGAATGATCTCTGATCCAATATGAAGAGTCCCATTACACCTTATGACAACTCTCCAATGTGATGACATGTTGCAGAAATACCTGATGATGCTCATTTCCGAAGTCCATTTGCCACTGAATTTGCGTCTTTGTATATATGAAATATGCGATATCTTCTCCCTTCAAAATGGATAGTTTCCTTCATCTAAAAAAGGTGACGTCATGGAACGTCATGGAAAATTCTTCCCTTCTGAAAGCATGTTAGCTACCATCTTACTATCTGTCTATATAATGACTTGTCATAGCCCCAAACCATCACATTTCCGAACCTCTTGTAAACAACCCTCTGATTTCAGTGGCCAAACTGAATCGAAGCTTCATGAAGCCAGCTCTCTATAGATCAATCCGCCATTCTCCTCTCAGATTACAGACCCAAAACATGAATTCCCTGAAGCTTCTAGAGATGAACCTTAGGAATTCATAATATAATAATTTGGACCTCGAGGTTTCCAACTTATCGATTCTATTCTTCGCCGATATTGCATGCACCATCTTCAATCCAAAGAATTCTTTCAAGCTCCTTGATTCAGCCAACGACTTTGGCTTCAAATTCCTGACTTACAACATAGTGCTTATATGATCATTCACAGTTTGTATAACTCTCAAATGAGAAAAAGCCATTCCTTGGAAAATGTAACTATTTCATGCCTTTCATATCTCCCGTAAACTGAAATATTTGCAAAGTCATAATAACAATTTTCTCGCTGGAGAGAAGCTACCATACGATCACCATGTTTTCATGTGTACCCACATTCTGGACAAAGGCAACAAACATAAATTCATTTTTGTAGAAAAAACTCTTTCTAGAAGACTTTTTTTTTTTTGAAAAGGTCAAGATGACATTTGATTTCTCACAATCATAGAATACTCGATTTATACAATGACAAAAGGGGACAAATAGATGGCAAGATCTTAACGCCAAAATTTTTAATAACATCTGGAAAGGGAAGGAAACGGTTATAAAGCTTCCAGACAAAAATGGAGACTTTCAAAGGAATTGAGTTATGTCATACCTTTCTTTATTGTTATATCCACTGGATTTGTCTCCCTCGGCACTGCATGCACATATTTGAGTGTAAAAACATCGCTAGAAATGGGTAGCCAAATAAGAATATCATCATCCCTTGTAAATTCAATCTCCAAGTCCAATAGAAAATCAGCGACATGATCTGATAGATCCTTTCAAAGCATAATTGAATGGTGGAATTTTTTTTTTTAAATATTACTATATATGACCTTATAAATGTTAAGAGATGCTAGAAAAAAATAGATATAAGAAGTAGTATGACAGATGAATGGAGAAATTTTAGTACAGATAGATCAAGAAATTTTAAATCGGATATAAATAAAAAATTTAAAAATTAATAAGGAAGATACGAGCTCCTTTATGTTTTTTTTTCCGACTTTCTTTTGATTTTGTTTATAGAATGCATTATCTTCCATGGCTTGAGTTCTAAACTCTACCAAAGTTTTTCTTGATGTATTATGTTCAAAATCTAATGTATTTTTTAAATTCAATCGCATATTTTTGAGAGTCGTGCGAATTCCACAAAATGTGTTTTCGTGTGTCCTTACAAAGCAAAATTGAATGGTACACTTTTTTTTTTTTGAATATTACTATATAGGACTTTATGAATATCAAAAAATGATAGAAAAAAACAAATATAGAAAGTAGTATGACAGATGAAGGGAGGAATTTTAGTACAGATAGTGTGATGTCCCGATTTTGAGACAGGTGAATATACTATACACTCGTTAAAGTTTGCTCAAGATGGATAACTTCTAGATTTTTTATACGTTGTATATGTACATCAGCGATTATAAGCATTCAGAAATAAAGTAATAATCTATGTGGACTAAAATACAACTTATGAAAACTAAATACCCTAATTTCATGACTTGGGAAAATACTGGATGACAAATGAAACATAAAATGTATATACAAACCCCCACCTTTACATGCAACCAATGACAACAACTTCCTTCATTTCTTGAACATTCTTTTACTCTCTCCCTCCCTCATTTCTCACGCACACAACTTCCCAAATTCCCTTGCAATAATCCTACTCAGAAGATTAATTTACTTATATTAGGATGCCAATGAATTACAAGTTTCACTGTATATATAGAGTACAATTGTAACTACCACGTGATCTAATCTAGATACAAGTAGTTATGATATTAAACTAATCTTAACAAACCAAGATAAGCATCACTTTCAAATATTTAAGTAGCTATCCTCTGATACGCCCCCCACAAGCTGAAGGAGATGCTAAACATAACCGAAGCTTGGACACAAAATGCAAAAACTAGGATTTTGCTAATGGTTTAGTAAGAATATCTGCAAGTTGATCTGAAGATGAGACAATACCAATCGGAAGAGCTTTAGTAGCAACCATTTCACGTACAAAGTGAAAATCGATCTCCACGTGGCGAGTACGAGCATGGAAAACTAGATTAGAGGAAAGGAAAATAGCCCCTACATTATCACACCAAATATGGGGAGGAATGGTGAGACAAACACCCAATGCGCCAAGTAATTTAACCAGCCATTTGATTTCAACACAAGCATTAGCTACTACTTTGAATTCTGATTCCGTTGAAGACCGAGCTACAGTTCTTTGCTTACCAGACTTCCAAGCTAACAAATTATTGCCCAGAAAAATTAAAAAACCACCAGTTAGCCGTCGATCATCTGGGCAGCCAGCCCAATCGGCGTCACTATGCCGTTAGTCGATCAAGATCACATCGAGATATCAAAGTACACATAAAACTGGTTCCTTGCAAATAACGCAACACCCGTTTGAGAGCTTGAAAATGCACACGAGTGGGCTGGTGGAGAAATTGACATAACTTATTGATAGTAAATGAAATATCCGGCCTAGGAAGAAGTACATATTGTAATCCTCCACAAATTTGACAATAAGTAGTAGCATCACCGGTAGATAAAACATCACCTTGACTTTTGGACAAAGAACTACCAGCTACCATTGGAGTAGAACATGGCTTGCATGAAAGCATGCCCATTTTAGACAACAAATCAGTGATATAACCTCGTTGAGAAAGCAAAATACCTTGTGGATGTGGCAGCACCTCCATTCCAAGAAAATGACTCAAAGTGCCCAAATCTCAGTGAAAATTCAGCCGAGAGTTGGGAAATGAGAAAATCAACAAACTTGGCATCATTTCCTATGATAATCACATTATCAACATAAACTAAAAGAAGACAAAAATAACTATCTTGCTTGTAAATAAATAAGGAAGAGTCAGCATGAGAGCCTTTGAAACCAAGATGGAGAAGAAATGAGCTTAGGCGTTGATACCAAGCCTGAGGTGCCTATTTCAGTCCGTACAAGGATCTTTAACTTGCAAACATATTCAGGATGTAGTTTATCAACAAA